AAGAAAATGATGTTGTTCTTCTTGTGTTGTTTCCCTTCCCGCTTTGAAATTCTATACGCGTGGGCGTGTGTGTGTGTGTGTGTGTGTGCGCGCGCGCGCCTTCCCCTTTGCAGAAGGCCCCGCCAAGAAAAATGCTGCCCCCGCGCCTGCAGAGAAGGCTCCTCGTCGAATACTACCACCGGACCTGCAGCGCCCCACGCATTCCACGGCGGCAGGCGAAGAAGAACAAAACAACAAGGAGAAAGAGAGATAGAGAGAAAGACGGAGAGAAAGGGAAGCATGCAGGCACGCCGGCAGGCGTGTCGCAGACGCGGAAGGAAAAAAAGGGAGGCGCGTGGTGAGTGAGGGGGGGGGGAGGGGCTCCTCGCTCACAACAACACGTGCGTGAGGGAAAAAGAAGCACGGCAGAAACAAAGCGCGGGCCGGAAATCACACCAAAGTGCTGCGCGCGGTTACCGTGAAGGGTTCAATAATCGTCCGTATCTGCTGCCTGAACCCGCGCGAGTACGCCAGCGAGGGTTCATCCGCCACGCGCTCCGGCGTCGGCGCGGCCCGCAGGTTCTCCGCGTACTCCGCCGGCAAAAGAGTTGGTTCCCGCAGCTCCGACTTGGACCACGACTGCAGCAGCCGTGCGTGCATGCGTGGGGTCCGAAACGGATTGCAGAGAGCCGCAGACGCCGCCTCGTAGGTGGTGCGGCAGAGCGGCAACACCGCGTCGAGTGGGACGTCGCCCACAATCGCCAAGATTGTTCGTACGCCGGAGGCCGACTGGAAACCGTACGAAGTAAACCGGTGGTTGCGCATGAGTCTGCCGAGAAACCGCACATCCGCGCCAGCGGATACGCCAAGCGCCCTTCGCTGGCTACCGGGGCCCTCCCCAAGCGCGCCTGAGCTGCCTTGCAGCAGCTGCTGCTGCTGCTGCTCCCTCGTGCGCCGCTCACGCAAGACCTCGTCGCAGCGATCCAACGAGGAAAACAGGAGAAAGTGCAGCCGCACCACATCCTCCTCGCCAACGTACAGGTTGGCGCACGTGGCGGCGTCCGGGTGTGCCAGCACCTCCCGCGGAGAGCTGAAGGTGCGTATGAACAGCGGGGCGGTGTGACGGCCAAACAACGCCACGGCGGCGATGGCCCAAGTGGGGTAGTCCGACGCCGGCATGCGCGTCCCGCCTGCGTTTTCTCTCGCCTCCGCCGTTCACCTCCCTGCTGCTCGCTACACCGCTTTCTCACTCCCTAACTGCTCTCGGGCAACGGGCCTGCGCCCAGAGTAGAGAGATAGAGAGAGGAAAAAATAAAAATAAAATCGCAGTTTAAAAAGGGTACACTTCAACAACCAACAAAAACCAACAAAACCAACACCACCACCAACGCCAACGTACAAGCAGCACACACACACACAGAGAGAGAAAGAAAAGAGAGAGGAAGAGGCACGGGAAGTCTCGCGGACCTTTGACACCCAGTGCAGCTGGCATGAGGGAAAAACCCGCCAGCGGGGTAACACGGTTCCGCTGAGGACGCCGGCGCATCAGCAAGTCATTGGCTTCTTGTCTCGCTGTTTTCGGTCACGCTGCATGCACTCCGAAAGAACGCAGCTGAGAAAATCGCATCACCGCGCAGGGTTAGGGGGAGGCAAGGCACACGCGGGCAGAAGCACGCACAGAGGGAGGGAGAGGAAGAGGCACGGGAAGTCTCGCGGACCTTTGACACCCAGTGCAGCTGGCATGGGGGAAAAACCCGCCAGCGGGGTAACACGGTTACGCTGAGGACGCCGGCGCATCAGCAAGTCATTGGCTTCTTGTCTCGCTGTTTTCGGTCACGCTGCATGCACTCCG